ATGTGACAGAGGACTAACTAGAAAAAATCATGTAAGCAATGACTTGGGCGGCAGGGTGATGGCGGCAGTCCTGTGGTTACACCTCGGGTAAGGCTCATGCTTGGTGGTCTAGCTGAGGCCTGGTCTCTACTTCTCTTAACTACAACAAAGGCACCATTACTGTAAGTACAACTAACACGCCACTCTCTCTGAAACTCTCCAGGCTACCAGCTTGATAGCATCACACGTTCATCGTTATAATCTCATTTATTAGACATTATCATGAGGCATTATTACATAGACAAAGATTTTCTCAACACCCAATATCATTCTAAAGATAAATCCCCTTCACTGCTGCTGTCTGGGTAAACGTCTTGAAAAAGGGAACAGAAATTTGATTTTCAATGATCTAATATCCATCTTGCATGAAATGTTATTATCTTGGTTGTCCAGTCTGGGAAAGGTAGGCTTCTCATTATCACGAAGGGATCGCCTGCGAACGGGCGGCCGAGCCCCACTTCCACCCCTTTCATGGCATTACTGACGCACGACACACGAGCTGGAAGACCCCGAGGGAGTTTCTCAGAGAGTTGGGGTTCAGATACGATCTTGAGGTCCACTGTTGCTGCCGCTTGATGATGAAGCATTTTTGCTTTCTTTACATTTATTTGTGTGTCCGTTTCTTGTAGACCAACTTTTTGTATTAATACATTTCTGTCATTCACAAAACCAACAGTTTATTGTAAAGCTGTTGTAAACACTGAATGGAGTTATGACTTATACAAATTCTTGGTGTTAGAGCTTGTTCATCTGTCACATGCCTTTTGAAACATGACTTCTTTGTTGTCTTTTGTTTGCTGTTTGATTTAACAGTTTGGCACGCAGGCATAAGCACCTCTGTTTGCCAGAAGAACTCAGCCTTTCCAAAAGCCTAACAGATATTATTAGCTATAATATATTACATAGTTTGAGTGTTATGTTAGTGCAATTGCATTCGACTCTCGCAACTCTTTTCTTAAAACACACACACACACACACACACACACACACACACACACACACACACACACACACACACACACACACACACACACACACACACACACACACACACACACACACACACACACACACACACATATATATACTCAAACAAACAAAAAAGACACAAGCACATACAAACACTCACAAGTACACATGTACACACACACTCACACTCACATTCACATTCATACACACGCGCATACACACACACACACACACACACACGCACACACACACACACACACACACACACACACACACACACACACACACACACACACACACACACACACACACACACACACACACATATATATTCACCTATGTATGTATGACGTGCACGAGGAACATTCAGTAACCAATCTCCTTCACTCTCGATGACATTAAAACAAGTACTGCAAGCGTGTGTGCGAGAACAAGGCTTCAGTAAGTAGGCTTTGCTTCACGCAGACTGAAACAAATATCCAAGGTTAGAGAATTTAAAAGAATCAGAACTCCCGCAAATAATGAGAAGGACCTTAATACGCTGTCAGTTACAGTAGCCTTTTGAGAGCACAGATTTGTTTACCGACACCCACTCATGATTATGGTCCACGCGAAGGAATTAAGCCCTTGTTTGTCAGTCTATTTTGATTACTGTGGTTCACTGCTGCAAGCTAGATATAAATTCCGACTCAGACTTGAGTCCAGTTAAACGTTCCTTGTGTCTAATAGTCAGTAGACTCATGGGAAGGCTTTTCTCATTGAAAGTAAAGGTTAGGCCTGGAACATCATCTCTCTCGAAGAGGAACTTGAGAGACAAGTGACCAGGACACAGTGACTAGTAGATTGTATTTGTTGTATGGTGTCTTTGATTTTTCTTCTACCTTCTGTTTTCTAAGACAGGCTTTGGCAGTATTCACTACTCACCTTATTAACTTAATTTGTGTGGTTAACTAACAGCATTTTGTATCTTACAATTCATTCCAGGCCATAACTGGGGCCAGATACAGCACTTGGAGCTTCCATGTTTTTTTATTTCCGCAATCAGATTATCAGAGACACATCCACTTAAAATACGTGATAGCCAAATGCTGTATCTGTTTTAGTTACCTAGCATGCTTAGGTCTGCACTGGGCTGCCTGTGAATCACGCCTACTTTTGTTAACCAATCTTTGATGTGACTGTCCTGTAGTAAATGCTGCATAGAATCTCTAGTCTAATTGAGAGGATAGCTGAATCTGGTGTTGATGCGTGAGGTCATTCCTAATGATATCATTTGGAGTGTACAAACAACCACGGATATCACTGGGAATGCTTTAACTTTGTGTTTGCCAGATTCAATGAAAGTAACCAGTTCCTCTTGGAGTTTCTGTGTGTGAGGTTGATTTGCATTTTTGAGGGGAAGATACACTCAGGCAGAAAGAGGTATGTAGCTGGGAAGGAAAAACAAACTGATGATTCAAAGGATATACCAAATTTGATTTTTTTTTCTCTG